TTCGATTGCATGGACCAACACTTCATGTCAATTTACCTTCATTTTCACGGCTCTTTATCCACGCATTTCTATTGAAAACCAAAATACTTGGAGCTTATTGTTACCTTTGTCAAATCGGATTCACATGTTGAGATTTGATAGGACTGATGGTTCATTCCAGTAGCAAAAGCGGACTCAAATTTGTGGCCACTCCATCTAATGGGCGAGCCAAGGTTGAGAGAACCATGAAAAATTCCAGTTTTTACTAACAGTTACAAGCGTAGGTGAATTCCTCATCCAAATAGCGGCTTGTTAAGTAGATTCACTGCTATACGAGGGTTCCGCATGCCTTGTTATTCGCAAGAGGGTTTAACTAAACCACGTCACGGAGATGCATTGCTTCCTGCACTCGCATGTTATTAGTCCGGTTGGATACGATTAATGCTGGTAATAAATGCACAGTGATTTGAGAATCCACACGGTCTGTGAACATTTATTCCCCATTGTGTCCAAATTTGCTTGAAAATCAAACAAGTTGACGTAAGAATAGACGGCGGTATCACGTTTTTACAGCTTAAAGCGTAATATATGCATGAAAGGCTGGATTCATCTGAATTCCAACCATGGTGACCACTTTTTGTCGTGGCAACTTTTAGGCGAATGGTCACTCTTTGATGTTGACCGCGCATAATTTTGCCGTATAAATGAATAATTAAAAAGTAATAAACGAAGGTCATTAATAATGTTCCTCTTCACAGATGAGGGTGTAACAACCTCTACAATGTAGTTGCCTTCGTCAACGACCTATAAAAGCCAACCAAGTCTGAGGAACCGCAGTTTTATGTCTTCAAGGTGTTCAGTAAGTGCACTTCAAAGGAAGGAAATGGACGTGATTTTTATAGAATGTAAGAAGTGCTCTGCAAGTAGTTCATTAAGGCCATCATATTTGTCATGATAAGTACTTGTTTGAATGCAAGGAGCGGGTGCTTCGGTTCGATTACGTGGTTAAGCGACAGGCTTAACGTTGGAGGGGAAAACATAAAGAGCGAGGAATGCGCCCCACTTTGCATTGCATCCAATCGTCGAGGTTATTTGGCATAGCTCTGTAAAGCACTAAAACATTCACAAGCAAAGGGCTTAAAGATTTTCCTACCTGGCGATAAATGGAGTGGAGGTATCTACAAGTAAACAAGTGGGGAACCGCAACAATATCCCTACATAAAATGTCCGATGAATGTTGAATTGTTAGAGGGATACGCGACACTTTAAGCCATGGGGATGACTCGAAGTAGGTAAATGACTTTCGTGAAGTGGTCTTGACCACAATCGTCGCTCCACTTTGTGCATTGAAGTTTAGCTCGGAATCTTTCTGTCGCGTTGCAATCACTTTCCCGGCTGTAACATTTTTAACTTATACAGGTGGTAGGTCAGTAAAGGAGACTTTCATAATTGATCATTTTACCAACGGAAGAGGAGTTGTCCTTGATTAAGGCGAACGAGGTGTTAATTTATGTTTTAATAAGGTAAATACTGACCTGGAGCCATTACATGGTCCTTCAATATTCATGAGTGGCCTCAAACTGCTAAATAGACAGGTCACTACACGTCCACAAGCTGAGGTCAGCATATCAGCGACTAGGTTTGTGCTCTGCTTTCAAGGCCTTCATCTATCGTTAAAAAGCGACACCTACTTCTGTATGAAGAATCCAATGTAAAAAGTCAATGCTATCGTCTAGTTGGACAACGCAAAATCTGAAGGTAGGCGGGAGTGGGAAAAGTCACGAGGTTGCACTCGGATTAAACCGGACAGGTAGACGCCTAGCTTCTGACTGACTCATTCAACCAAAGTGCATTAAGGCAGACGGCTAGACTCAACGAAGATCAATAAGTTGTGATGTGCTACCGAACTGTTTTGCAACTTCCTTTTAAAATGGCCATCTCGAATTTGAACAGAAGCGAGAAGGATGGAGATGGAAGTTTTGCTAAGCCGAGCCACGTTGTGCCTCCTTTATATTTCATTTATTTCTAAAATCTCACAAATCAAAAGTACAGATGAACGGTTCCTCTCAAAATTTTACACATGTGTGTCACCTGTACGAATTCTTTTACAAGGACGAAATATGAGCACTACAAATACGTCGTTGAACATTATGGCCCGTCTGCATTTCAGCCTTGGGATAGGCTAGTGTTCATCATTCCAGTCCACTGCCCATCCGCAACAGCTATCATTTGTCAGTCCCCACTCGTACCCCTTAACGGGGTTTCCGACTTCCTCCCCCCAAGAGTTGGACCGTCTGGTTCCATTTTCGAGGCCATCACCAATTGGCGATTATTGGACAAATGTGCACACAGGAGCACGATACCTTCCAAGAGTCCCGCTGTGTTCGGTACCGACCTGAGGCCCCGCACTGCATACATCCATACATGCCCAATCATGGCAGTCTCGGAGGTTCTGTGTGACCATGAATTGGGTTGAAGAGAGATGCCACAAAACTGCAAGCCTGCCCTCACCCCTCTGCATCTACAGTGCGATTAGCTAGTCCAGGCTCAGATTACGTGTTGGGTAATTGCGTTTTCGGTACAAAGAACCGGACTTCTAAATCTAAACACCATGTCTGTATAGCACAAATTCTTTATCTGTGATTTAAACTTTTACCAACAAATATTTCAAGTTGCATTCATCCTCTCATTTTCGTTTAAAATGCTAAGCTCTTTACTGAGTGAGCAAGCAGTACCCAATCGGAGACTTCCAACCATTAAATGTATTTGATCACATCAAAACTTTAGCGCATCAATTTTTATTTCAGCTTAAACTCCTAGGTTTTGACGCCATTATTTGAAACAATTTCTTCATCAAGTGCTTACGAGTGATAATGCCTATTCTGTCGCTTCCACCTTACACCTTAAGCAAAACAGAATCGCCCTCTTTCATTCAATGTAACTGAATTAGACCAGCTTCTTTTCCCTTAGGTGGGTGGAACTTAAGTGAATCACCAAAGTGGAGCTTTGCGACTGGCTTGTGATTGTTCCTCCTAAACAAATAGGCCCGTCAGGTCTTGTGAAGCGATTTGAAATAAATATTGCATTGTCTACTATTACCAGCTACTATCAAGGATTTGAGGTAAGGCTTACCTTTTCCATGTTCTTTTTGGAATTGTAAAACGGTAATTAATAATAAGTAGTCATAACTACGGTACCCTTGTCGCAAACCTCAAATTCCAAATTTGTTTTTCTCTCACAATAAGGAACGAGAATTTTGAAACATCGCACCCATAAAGGGCCGATACTGTCATAACTCGTCACACAGTCTAACCACATTTTGCGATGACCCTCAGGATGAGATAATCGTAATCTTGAAAAATCGTTTTTTAGGCGTATGCACAAAAGAAGAATGGAAGGGAAAAAGTGGATTTAGGGACAATACGAATTAAAATATGAGTAAAATCACATAAAGAGAAAAAACCAATGCGAGATAAGCATTACATGTGTGTGGTGGCGGCAGAAGAAGGTCAGAAGTGGAAGGTCGTCAGATCAGTAAAGTCACGTTGCTGTAGTTGTGAGCTGTACAGTGTTGCTGCATTTGCGTGGAGAGTGAAGTGTAAGAAGAGAATTTATATTCCTTTCAAAAGTAGGAACCGATGCAAGGAGGGAATGGGTAGTCCTCCTCTTTTGTAGTTAGCTGCAAGGGGGCGAGGTCTGAGACTGATTGGAGGTGGAGTTGAGAAGGTTCACCAGAGTGTTGAGCCAGCCACACTCTGGCGCTGAAGGCAGACGTCCACTGGCGTGGAGACGCTGAAGAGGTTGCAGAAGCAGCTGGCTTGCGATCCAGTGTACCGTGTCCTTCTTCTTGAAGACCTGCGAGAAGTACGTCGAGTCAGCTCGAGCCGGGGGCACCATGGTAGCGGGTGTGGCGGCTGTAACTACCGCAGCCCCAGCGGGGTCCGCCTCAGGAGCATAGCAACCTGGATAGGCGGTGGGAATCGCCACTGCACTCGTAGGGGAGCAGCAGTGACTCTTCAACATCTCCACGAATCTGTGGTGAACTGTGTAGATCTCACTTGAATTCTCTAAATCCGACCTTCCTGAAACAATGTGTGCACTTTGAGATAACTTCGTGAGGAGGAGGAGGAGAAGGAGGAGGAGGAATCGACACAACGTGCTAGGACCTTTAGAGATTATAAAAAGTTTGTCTTACAAATAACAAAACTGAAATTCAATGTTGATGATCACCATAAAACACAAAGGAGTGAATAAAGTTAGTGTCAATCAAATGCAGAGAATCAACTTCGGATTCACTGTCGTAGACCGAGTAAGCTAAACCACATCCCTAGTAGGTACTTTAAGTAACATATTTGCCAGTCAAAAGGATTCAATTTTTTACTGCTTGAATTCTGAATGTTTTATAGCATTTACTTAAGAGGGGCAAGGTTTGCATCGTCAGCCTCATTTGTTTTTTTGGGTTAGAGGGACTCTGGTAATGTATTCAGAGGCCAAATTTGTGATACCAATATTGAAATGCAGTTGGTGTGTTTGTGTGGAGAGAATTCATTGAAGTATGTAAGAAAACTCACCAGAAAGAGCCTGGTAATTGATTAGTACAAGGGCAGAGAGCCCAGCAATTGTGCTGTGATCACCCATGGCAAGTTCGAGCAGTTGCCAGCCGAACCAGGTAAGGGCTCTAATCCAGGAACCAAGGCCTGCTCTAATCAGCTCCTCGTCGGTCATAATAGAACCGTTTTCAAAGATATAAACAGGCTCAGTTGGTGTTGAGAGTGCTACCTCCCATGCGGTGATACCGCCGCCTTCCTCCTCCTGCTCGAAGTCGGCAGGCCGTGGGACACTACCACTATTACTACCTCCGTGCCATGCGGTTGGAGGTGCTGGCGTAAGTGGCGGAGTATGGGGAAATGGGCGAAAGGTTGGCTCTGATGCCGCTGACTGGGTTTGCCATGCGCTTAGGTTTTCCACGCTCTGAAAAGGACCTGTTTGTTGGTGCTGCATCGTTGTTGTCGTCTGCTGCTGCTCCTGCTGCTGCTGCTGGTGGTGTTGGTGCTGTTGGTGGTGGTGGTGGTGGTGGTTCCTACTCACTTCCGTCGAGGTAGAAGGTCGAAAGTATGCGCTCGATTGTGATGCAGTCGGATGAAACAAATTCAGTTGGGCTCGCTCTGCTGCTGCTTTCGCAGTTCTTTCATCGTCAAGAAATATTTTAAAATTAGCACTACTATTTTGTCATATGCTACGCTTTCTAAGCTCTACCACGTTCTCTTTTGGTGCTGTGCAATTTTGTAATGTGCTTTATACACTTTTTACACTTAAACTACTTATAACAACTCGTACTGACTGACCTAAATCAGAAGGTTTTCAGTTTTAGCTGCTAGCATTATCTTATTCAACTCAGCGTCACAGTTGCTAGTTGAGAATTGTAGTGCGCCTTACCTAAAAGCCATGCGAAAAGTGATCAGATCAGCCGAATGCAGT